TGTCTAAGCTGATTAAGCCAGGACAAGAAGCCCCATGGTCCTTGTTTTTGTCTCCGGCACCAAAAACCATCAAATTTAATGTTGGGTATAACTTTAGGAGTTCGATTTTTGGGTTTATTTGTGAGGGGGAGCTTCGAAAGAGATCTTTTTCGAGTGCCGTTTGGAAAAGCCTTAAGATTACTAAAACGTTTCCTTAATTTATTTCATTTTACAAAATAGTTAGTTCCCAATTTTAGCATAGGAAAACTTTCAACAAAGTCGCTGGCGAAGAAGTTATCAAAAGCCGCCTTTAGATTCCCAGAACTTCTGAGGGCCAGCAGCTGGACCCAATGCCTCCAAGACGTGGCCACCATCTGATGGTCTGAAGATGGAAAACAACAACAAAAAGAAACGGAAAAGGGGGAAAAGGGAATGGGAATGGGAATGGTAATGGAAATGGGTTCAGGTTTAGGAGGTAAAAAGAAAAAAAAATGTCATGTGGGTTCGCCCTTCGAATGAGCAGGGGCACGTGCCCTCTCAAGCGCGAAATGCAATTGCAACTGCAACGTCAAGAGATGCCCCCGACTTTGGTCTTGATCTTCTTTAGCGCCCTTCCCATTTTTTTTCTCTCCTTCTTCTTCTTCGTGTATATATATATATATATATATATATATATATATATATGTTGCTGCTCATCTGAAGTATCTGGGGTATCTGTAGTATCTGCTGGGTATCTTCCCGTATCTAGCTATCTCTATCTCCTTGTGTGCACTTCCGGCGCTGCGGTTGAGTGTGCTCTTGCCTTTATGGTACCTTATAGTATGGTATAGCATATATCAACATGATCAACATCATGATCAACATCATCATCATCATCATTATCATCTTTTCTTTAATTGCTTTTGTACTGTCCTGGCTCTTGGCATTCCCGCAGGTTTTTCCTTATTTTCTTCAGGGCCCTTCTTTCTTCTTTCCCTATTACAATGGTTGGTAGTTGCTATAAGGTAGTCGCTATATAGGGTTGACTTCTGGCTGCATTTAGTTTGGTTTTTTCGTTCCTCTTTTTTTTCCTATTAAAACGTCCCCGGTATTGCAGTTAAATTAGATTAAGCAGTCATGCACATGTCTTCCCTGCAAGGCCTTGCCTTTAATTTTCCTGCCCTCTGGAGCGTCAGTTGTGAGGTTGCTTTTGTGGGATTTCAAGGATGGAGGGAGGGGGGTCAGAGTCGAAGGATCTGGATTGGAATTGACTTGCAAGGTTTTTCGTGGAACTGTTTTTGATCGTTCTGAAGGAGCCTGTGGGGAGTCCTTTGATAGATTTATGAAGAAACTCCACAGCTTTTTGGCAAGAATGTTGGTCTAGAGGCTTTTCCTTGGTTTTCTTAAGAGAAAACTTTTTAATCAATCAATTTTCTTTAACATTTCTTACAACCAAAACTCTTTAAGAAGTCTGCAAGATGCACTTTAAATTGTCTCCGCGTATTGTCTTTACAACTTAAAGTGACTCATGCTTGCCGCATTGAAGCCTTGAATATGTGGACCCCTTAAAAAAGAACTCCTTTCAGCTGCTGCTACCCTGCCCCCTGCCCCCTGCCCCCTCAATGGCATAAAAGATGCTGCTCATCCTGCTGCAGTTGCAACTGGCCTTGGCAACTGCCGCGATATCCTGATGCTGCAACACAGAGCGGTTAACAGGTAGCGATCGTTGAACCTGTTTCTTTTTGAAAACGACGAAAAGTAATGAACCCCCCCCTTACCCTTGGGTTTAATGGGCCACGTCCAGGCCAACAGGTGCATCCATGAAACGAGGAGTAGAGGATCCTCAACACGCGCTGCTGCATCCCTGCCACATATGATCGCAACTCGTAAATAAATATAAACGAAAAACCGAGGGGCACGTGCCGCTCAATGTGCAAGGATCAAGGATCTCCCCCTTTTTGGCCATTCTATCTGCAGTGCACTGCAGCACATCATCGGCAACGTCATTGTCCTCCTGCAGGATCTTTTCCCGTTCCCGTTCCCGTTCCCATTCTCGTTTCTGTTTTTGTTTCTGTTCCCTTTTCCCGAATGAGGATGACGACGATGATGATGATGATGATGATGCGATGGTACCTGTTCTTGGTAGTCAATCCCCCTAACCCTTAACAAACTCCACAACTCGCCTTTGTCTTTTGGCCCGATGCAAGCTGCATTTCTGCGGTTTCTTGGCTCGTGCCTGGCCTCGAAAAAGAGTCCAACTTTGGCTCCAATTTGGGCCAACACTGGGGGAAAAATGCAGAGATGATCTGTTATGATGGGCTTTAAGAAAGTTTTAAGTTTTTACAGTCTTAAAATATTAATTTTAGTTTTCTTAATTTTTTATACACATTTTAACCGATTTTTTCTTTCTATTTTTAGGTAAGCCATCTTAACTTCAGAAATCTTACACTGTAAGTCAGCCAAAAAGACAAAACTTAGCTTTATCTATATCGAGATTTTCACTGTGCATGGACAGCTGAGTTCAGGGTTTGTAATTAACTTGGCGATCGGTTTTGACCACAGCATCCCTTTTGTGGAAAAAACAAAAAGGACAGCTGAAAATGGGCACTGGTGTCTGGGGCTCCACTTCATCATTGCCTCGTGCCAATGGCCCAATTAGGCAACCAATTATGACTAAATAGGCGCACCTTTCTCCTCCAACCCTCGTGGGTTGAGTGTGTTTTTATGGGTACTTTAGAGTGGTGGTGGTGGTGGAGGGTTCCAGCACGCCCACAATCAGACAAATCATTGCGTAACTAGGTCTCGAGGATCACGAGGGGTAAGAAAAAAAGAAAACAAAAAAAAAGGGATCAGCCAAAACATCTGTCCAGGCAATCTGTTGTTGACCCGCCGCCGCGTCTCACACCTTGACAGGAGGAGTTTTGGGTCAGAACAGAAAACTAGAGTGGGAAGTGAGAAATGCATTGAAAAAAAAATGGGATGTTAGATAATGAAATAAGATTTTTTTTAGATATTTCATGAGGTATTTTTTAAGATTTTTAAGATTTAATGGCGAGGTTTCTTAAGCAAGATGAGAAAATTGATTCGTTTTTTTATGATTTTCTATGGAACTTTGTTTTTTCTATACAAAATTTCTTTATGTGTTTCCTATTTTCCTTTGATGATCTCGAAAAAGGGGATTGGAAAGTGAGATAGATATAAAGTAGAAAAAACTTGGCCAATAAGTGTTCATAAATCAGTGGAGCCAACGAACTTGTGGACGGACAGCTGTGGCTCTCTCGTTTTGGTTTTTAAAGATCCAAAGATCGAGGATAAAAGGCTATTTACCAGGCTGTTTTTCAGGCTGTTTCTTTATTAAATCAAATAAAATACCAGAACCAGCCATAATGTTGCAAAATGTCGCGGGATATCAATAACACAACCCCTTAAAGCGGCAAACTAAGGCACACATAGAACTTCCCTTTCGAGGAAAACAAAGAGTCGTGAGAAAAGCAAACCAATTGGTTAGACTAAAAAAAAGGGAAATTGAGTAAGTTTATTTAGCAAAATGGGCAATATAATCAGGCACTTTAATTAAAGATAAATTTGGGGGGATTATTAAAGAATATCCTAAACAAGCATTGAGGTTTTAGTTCTCTCTCTTATATGGTCTTAGCTTTACGTGTCCTAAAAAACAAAGAGTTTGTTTCCCCAGAGAATCGCAATTACGCATATGTAAAATGTGCCTATGAGTTTGCATGTCTGGGCCTACAGAATATATATATGTAGAATATGCCAAGAGATTAGAGACTCCTTCATCCCTGTTTCCTTTTTTTTTTTTTTATGACCATCGTTAGTCAGGGAATGGAAATATCTCCCCAGATCCCCAAACTGCCGGACGATGACTTGCTAAAAGCGAACATTGTTGATTCGTCCCGGAGTTTCGTAGAGAATCGCCGCTTTCTTTGGGGGTGGTGACACCCGAGTCTAACTCCCGACCACACCCACTTTTCTACTGTCCTGATGCCATGTCAAAACTACTACCACTACTACTGCTAGTACTGCTGCCTACAACTCTCTTTGAAACACGATTTTCCCCCAAGTCCGAAAGTCGTCCTGTGTGTGTGCGCACGCTTTTTATTTGTCCAACAAACAAAAAAAGGAAAACGAAAAAAACAAAAACAAGCAACAACTTTCCACTTTTCCCAGTGGGCGGAAGCCAAACCATCGCGGGTAATCTTCTATGCGAGTATGGGTCTTGTATCTTGTGGATACTTTACCTAGCACGATATATATATATACTTATATATGTATATATATATAGAGGGATATATGTACGAACACAGCTGCCTGGCTGCTGCTGCTGGACACGGAAATATCGATCCAAAATATCCGTCCGTGAGTCACTGTGAGCGCTAGCACTTGGGCACTGAAAGAAATTACTATCAAAAAGTGGATTTTATCTACTTCATATTTATACAAAAATCCTATAAAAATAGGCTGAAGTTTTTTTTACTAACCAAGTTTTCTACTTCAAAACCATTTAGAAAAGGCAATTTTTTCAGTGTGTTTTTTTTTTGTAAACTAGTATGGGTTTATAGGTGGCGCAATTTAAATGCTGCCAAGTGAGCGCCATCTACTGGCGGAAGACATAAAACAGGGCCTAGGCCGCAACCCTTTTTTTTTATCCGGACCTTTTCCCTCGGAACTGTTTTTGGCCTGTGCAGTGAGGCATATATCCGGAGTTCCTTCTCGTTTCTCCCCCCCGGAGGGTGATTTCAACTTTGTCCTGGACAAAATGAACCAACAGAGGAGGCTCTTACACTTGGAGAAAGTGATGGTACTTAAGGGATAACAAGATTGTTGGTTAGGAAGTAGGGAAATCAAGAATATTGATCTTAAGATTTCTGATACACTTTTAAGAAGTATTTAAGAGACTCTATCAAAGGGATACCATTGATATAGAAGATTAGGTTGTACTTTTTCAGCATCACTCTTAAAGATTCTTACAAGCACCTCTTTAGCTCTTTCTTCTTCTCACACACAATTTCTCACAGTGTAGAATATAGTATTCAGGGGGCGACAGATTCAGGTTACACACCTGTTCTTTTCTCTTCTGACCTGTCCTGCAATGCCTTCCACCCCCTTTTCGGTTAGAAATCAATAAAACCAAATGCAACGCCCCCCAAATAAGTTGTCCACACACACAAAGGACTCTCACAGGTTCTCTAAACTGAAACTTTCATCGCGAGTTCAATCAATCAAAAAAAAATAATTATACTTGATAGTTACAATAAATAAATAAATAGGCGCAAAAAAAAAAAAATGTGAACTTATGGAGACTATATATAGCTGGTCATCTAAGACACGAAACGCAAATTGGTACGCTTTCGTCCACCGAAATCGCCAAAGTTGCGACGCACTGCCTGAAGAACAGCCTGCTGGGCCACAGGATCCACTTGGGATTCATCCGAAGAGGCTACAGTAGATTCCGGATTGGATTTGACTTCCGATTCTGATTGTCTGCCCAGGATATTCCAGAAGGGACGAGCCGTAGTGGTTGTTGTCGGTGGATCCTTGTTGATGTAAATGCAATTTATAATGGGTTCATCGCCGTAGAATTGACGATTCTTATTGCGTAATCGCCGGCGTTGTTGTTGGCGTCTTCGTTTCTGTTGTTGTTGTTGCTGCTGGCGACGGCGTTTCTGTTGCTGTTGCGTTTTGCGGCGACGTTGCTGCTGCAACTGCTGTTGTTGTTGCTGTTGGGGACGACGGCGACGATAGCCTCCGATGGAGGAACTGCTGCTGCCGGAATAGCTAGAAGAGGTGCTGCTAGGTCGTCGGCGCTTATTGGTTGTAGAAATGCTGAGGCTGCTGCTGCTGCTGGTAGATTGCTTCTTCTTCTTCTTGGTTTTACGTTGGCTGAGACTGCTGCTGCTGCTGCTGCTAGAGCTGCTGGGGCGCTTCTTCTTCTTTTTCTTCTTATCCGTAGAATTGCTACCCGAAGAATTGCTGCTGGAAGAAACGGTATTGCTGTTGCTGCTTGTAGAAGAGGCACCAACTGTAGCTGAAGATTCCGTAGTAACTGGCTTCTTGATCACCTCGACGGGGGTAAGATTCTCCATGTTCTCCTCCTGATCTTGATTCTCCTCAGGCTTCTTCTTCTTTTGATCCTTATCCTGTTTCTTCTTTTGATCTTTATCCTGATGCTGCTGCTGTTGCTTCTTCTTTTGCTCCTGCCTCCTCCTCACGGGCTGTTCTTCATTTTGAGATTCCTGCTTGCGTTTCTTCTGCTGCTGACGCTTATTCTTCTGGTTCTGATTCTTATTCTTCTGATTCTTCTTGTTCTTATTCTTGTTCTTCTGATTGGGTCGCTTGTTGGGAACAGGACGAATATCGCTGTCATCGTCACCAGTTGTCCAACTGGCAATGGTGGTTACGGGCTCATCCTCACTGATAATGTGCTCTTCGTAAGCACCAAGATTATGGAAGCCTGGCTGATCTCTGTAGTAGCCATTTCCATAGTAGAAATCATCGTAGTCCTCTTCATCGTAATCATCCTCATCATAGTCATCCTCATGCTGATCCACCACCTCCCATGGCTGGACAAATGGATGATAGAAACTGACACCATTCGATGACTGATGATGATCGACATCCGATTGAACGGGTTTCAGTTCGAAAACGGCATGGGTATCGGGATTGACTTTGGGTGGCTGATGCGATTGGACAACAACAATGCCAGCATCTTCGGCAACATTGGCATGGCTGGCAGCATTGGCGACCACGCTGACTCCCTGGTTCAGATGGGCAGCAGTTGATTGACTTTGCAATGGCAAAGCCAAGGCAGCGGGTACATAGTTCGACTGTCCCTTTGAGGATTGCACTTCCTGAACATCATCATTATTATCATCATCATCCTCGTCGTCATCATTCAGCTCCTCATCCAATTCCTCATCCTCTAGATTGTGAACAAGATCTTGAGGAAGTGGAGATTCCAAATGAACACCCGTTAGGGCCACATAACGCCTATTGCTATTCTCCACCTCCTGGAGAACAGCTCCTCCTTCACGATGTTCCTTCGCTGGCAGACTCTCCACATTCAAAGGTTGCGAACTAACCGATACAGTGGCTGCTGCAGCTGATGCTGATCCTGCGCCCGATTGAAGGGCACGACCCGAACGCTTTCTCCTGGTGACCACACACTGCGATTGACTGCCATCACCCTTCAATTGTCTTCCCTGAATGTAGAATCGCTTCAGTTCGTATTCATCACCATTCTCATCCACTTCGATCATGGTCTCACTCATGGCCCTGGTGGCCAGCAGGCACATACCAAGAGCCAGCAAAGCCCAGACACAGCAGCGGTTTCTCATCTTGGCCAAAACTGAGCTAGCCGACGTTCGGCAACCGGCTTATATTAGCTCGTACGACGTACGGACCTATTGACCCACAGTTAATTGCCAAAAATCAAAAACGCGCCAACAGAAGATGCTACCAGTCAGATCGGCCAGTTCAGTTCACCAACGGTTTCCTACGAACCCGAGGGCTCTGAATTATTCATCAGTTTAGCTCAGCATCATCATCTCTCAGCTAGCTTCTTTTTTGGGCTTTCTTCCGCAGAACTCGTTTTTATTTTGTATTTTTTTGTTTTTTCTTTTAGTTTTTGACTTTCTGTCGGGGTCAATGGATAGACCGATCATTAATAACCCCGCATCGATGCGGATGAAAGTTTTGGCCAAAAAGGGCCCTTTATGGGTCATCTAGGTTGGGGATCAATTTGCACAGAGAGAAAAAGCTCGGCAAGAAGTTTTTAAGATAGTTTTGAATTTTGAAGATCCTTTAGATGAGATGAGATGAGTTTTCTTCTGTAATTACTAAAAAATATATATAGTTTGAAATATATTTTTAAAATTTTATTTTTTACTTTTATAAATCTAGAAAAAATCCAGAATTTTAAAGTCTCAAAAACTATTATTTTAATATATTTCTATCTCTATACTTTATTCCTGTGATACTTTTTTCTCCGTGCATGCAACACAACCCTTTTTGGGAGTGGAAAGTTGAACGTTGAAGGCCCCGTGTCGAATTCCGCATAACTTTCGCAGTTCATAAAAATAGATATAGTATGTATGGTCTATTGACTAAATTTAAACCCGAGACACATTCCTGTCAACAATTGAGCTCTGCTTAAAGATTTATTCTCAAGCCAAAGCGAGATAATTTACCCTACTATGGCACAAAGAACAAAGAACGAACAAAGGATGGTCGGTCAGAGTTTTGGCATTGGCATTTCTACAAAAGGTTAACTTACACACGTGGTGCGAAAGTTCAGCAACGATGATGGAGATTTACTAATGAAAAAGCAGTTCTGAAGTAGGAAATACTCTAATTTAATATTAAAAGGAAGAAAATCATATAAAATATTTCTAAATTTACATTTTACATATTATAATAATCTAATATGTAATATGGAAGTTTTCACTGCCCGAAATTTTTTGCAAATTCTTTCATAATAAATTCCCTAAACCCCATTTAGCATAAAGAGTATAGAAAGCGAAATTGACCTTAGAGTTAGGAAATAAAACCGAAGAAAAAGCGATTTAAAAAGTTGATTTCTTAGCGGGATTAAAGTTTCTACGACGCTGAGTCAAAAATGAAATTAATTTATTGAATTGGCTATTTGCTAGTTTTTTTTTTAATGTTTTTGTTTTTGTTTTTGCAACGCAGCTTATGAAAGGCCCAAAAAGCAGAGACATTTAGCCAAAATGGCCAACAAAAGCCAATAAACATTCCAAATCACAGTTTGACCCGCGTGCTGTTTCTTTTTTTCACTCCACCCCCCCTGTCTGACTCTGACTAGCTTTAGTCAGTTGGACTAAGACAAAAGCAAAAAAAAAAAAAAGGGGGGAAAGTAACAACAACAACCAACACATTTTCAACGGGGACATCGTTTGAGCTGCGGCCATTTATTGTCCACTCTGTGTGAATGCTAATGAAGCATCGTAAATTTCCAGGGCCAAGAGAAGAGCGGAGCCCCCAGGCCAAATAGTTGGGTGTGATCCAGGTCCGCCAAAGAATCCAAGATGGTCTGATGGGATTTTTTGGTATTGGCCAACAGATCGCAGACAGAATGCTCTCTCGAAAGGAAATCAAAATTTTGGGGTTTTAAATTTAGTGAAATTATAAGTGGCTAGCTTAGTCTTTAATTTGAAAATTATTTGGAAATTTGTTACTAATATTTCGTTTATAGTATAAAATATATCTAGCTAAGGACATCTTCTCTATAAGAACTTTGCTTGTAGAGCATAAAATGTATAGCCTGGCCAAGAAATCAATAGCCAGAATGAAGAGATGTGGTAAACTGTGGAGATAAATATGTGTTGCTTTTGTGCATAATAATTGCAATGAAATATACAGTAAATCTGGCTGAGCCTCCAGCAGCTTTTATTCGTATGTCGCGCACGTTTATTAAGTAGCAACAGCAGCAGTAGCAGTAGCAGTAGCAGCAGCAACAGCAGCAGTAGCAGCAGAAGCAGCAGCTACAGCAGCAACAGCAACAACGAGCAGCAACACCAGCAGCAGCAACAGTAGCCGTAACAAGTAACAACACACCTTGTTCTTGTTCTGATATCAAGTGCTGATTACAAACTCAGACAAATGGTTAAAAAAAAAAAAACCAAAATGAAAGAAAATGAACATCAAAATCAGTAGAAGAAGAAGTTGTCGTCGTTGTCGTTGTCGTTGTTGTTGTCGAGTTCACCAAACGATATTAGGTGGGAATTTGTTTCGATTTTGTACACTTTATTTTTCCTTCTTCTTTTTATCACAATCAGCCTCACACACCTGCAATCTGTCATCGACCCATTTTAAGGCGAGACATCATACAGCTTACTTACTATATACTATATATGTATATTTACTATATATGTATGTACTCCGATCGTATCGCCGCGGTGTATCAGAGTTAGGTGAAGTGCTGCCCAGTGTCGGGATTATTGTACATTGTCCAAATGCTGTACAGTGGCTGTGAGAAGTTAAGAAACAGAGAAATTAAGAAGTAGCAGTTAGGAATTCTTTTATTTTACAAACTTTAAGAAATTTCATAATTAAATTTATGATTTATCTTAATTGGGGAAGTTAGAAATAATTTTTAAAAATATTTAAGGGTATAATTTGTAATTTTTGTAAAAGATTTTCCATTCTCCAAAACCATTTTGAATATAAAATCATCAGAAATGTTGATAGCTAACTTGGGCACATACTTCCCATTATCATTGTGTCAACATCCCGCACCCACTCGCTTATATCCCACTTGCAATAGATATACAACATACACACATATATACACTCGCATATATCTTCAACGATCTGAGGCGATCGTATAAAAAAATTGACGCACGCAGCAAGAAAGTGCGTATACGCAATTAGAATTCCATTAACTAATTTCTTCTCATTTGCATGGCGCACTTTCTAAGTGCATAGCCATAGGAATGAAATGAACAAGAAAACCAGCATCTTGCCGGTGTAATAGTAATAAATAAAGAACTTTCATTTACATTTATTCAAAATATGGTATAAAAAGGGAGGGGGTCTAGATGAAAAGGGGATAATGAGAGGGGGGCGAAAGAGAAGAAGAACACACAGCAGTAATATTTACCATGAATTTTTGTGTTTGCGCTTTGCCGCTTTCGTGGCGAACATACACGGAATTCATAATTAATTCGTGCATTAAATTTTCGAGTATATATTATATTTGGTTATATTTCTGTCGGTTGTTGTTGTTCTTGTTTTTTTTTTTATTATTATTATTATTTGCCGCAGAAATCAATAAGTTTTTTTTTTTTGTATATGAGAGAGTTTCCGTTAATGAGATGCATGATAATCGTGGAATGTGCGCTGACACAAATATGCAAAACGATTTTTGGTCTACCGAATTTCTGATTATTATTATTATGCCGCCTTATTAGTTATTGCAACTTGTGGCGGACGAACAGTGGAAACTGGTTTTCCCACAAATCACAGCAGCAGACCAATCCCAGTGCATCTTGAATGATTTTTTTTTTTCTTCTTCTTCTGTATCTTGAGATTCTCGGTTGCAGTTGCAGTTGCAGCTGATGAACAAAATGGCGGGGCCTTCATTTAAGTAAAAGTAAAATCGATTTTTCCTCTCTTTTTGTTTTTTTTTTTTACAAGTGACCCATTAAGAAAAGAGCCCAAATTTACCATCAATTTACAATTTGAAATCGCGCTTAATTAGGAATTCCAAACACGTGGGTCTTATTTATTTGAATTTTAGTCAGTTTGGAGATCTTTTTTTTTTCTTCTTACAAGACTTAAAGAACACACGCCCCAAAATGAATTCGAAAAATCAAGTTTTGATTTTTATAGATCAAGAGATTTTAATATTTTATGTAAAATATGTGGGGTTGAAATGAATTTGAAATGACTTTCTAATGGAAAATATAGGTTAAAGAATTTAAAAAAGGAAATATTTTGAAGATTTGCCTTTTATAAATTATAACAAAAATTCTAGTTTAATATTCAAACCTTCAACAAACAGCAGGCATCGTGTAAAATCTCAAAACCAAAACCAACGTCATATTAAGTATCAAATTCAAACTTAATGAAGTCGTTGCCTTTTCGAATTTCCCACTTTGGTTGAAACGGTTATTAAAACCGGTTAACCGCAACTTGAACGCCAGAGGGCGCTTAGGGGATATGGTAATACCATTCCTATTAGACTGCGGTATTTAAAGCTTATTAAAAGTTCGTTCACACTTTTCACCGGTACTGTGCAACACTGTAAATAAGTGCAAAAAAGATTTTTATAGCCAACGTGATAAAATTTAGCCTATTTTCGTGGGATAAACGAGCCGGAAAAGGCCGTCAAGAGAATATTATCAGCAGCCGGCAATAGTCGGCTAAGAAAACACAAAGGAGGAAATCTTGAGAGACACAGGAATAGCAGAGGATCACCGTAGAGATCATCATGCCACGAGGAAAGTTCGTCAATCACAAGGGTCGCAGTCGCCATTTCACATCGCCCGAGGAATTGCAACAGGAATCAGAGGAGGATAGCGATCAAACTAGCGGCTCGGGTTCCGAAAGTGAGGATAAGGCTGGTGGCAGTGCCGGAGCAAGTTCATCCAAAGCCAAGGCGCCCGCACCACGAAAACCTCCAGTGAATCGCAATCAGAAAGCTAGATCAGCGGCAGGCGCAGCTAGCTCTTCGGAATCGGAGTCTGGTGAAGATTCCGAAGATGATTCCGAATCTGAAGCCCGCGATGCCAAAAAGGGTGTGGCCTCGCTCATCGAAATCGAGAATCCCAATCGGGTGACCAAGAAGGCAACACAAAAGCTATCGGCCATTAAATTGGATGACGGACCCGGTACTGATGGCAAGGGCAGTGCCAAACCGGAATTATCTCGCCGGGAACGTGAACAAATTGAGAAACAAAAAGCGCGCCAGCGTTATGAGAAACTCCATGCCGCTGGCAAGACCACCGAGGCTAAGGCCGATTTGGCCAGATTGGCCTTAATTCGGCAGCAGCGCGAAGAGGCGGCCGCCAAGAGGGAGGCAGAAAAGAAGGCAGCCGATGTGGGCACCAAAAAGCCAGGTGCCAAGTAGAGAATCCATCCTATATATATACCTTTCCCCCGGAAATAGAGCACTCATCATATGCAATAAAAAGAAATTCCCCGTTATGAGAAAAATACGACAGGGCTACATGGCAATTAGTTAAGCATAAAATTAACGTAAATCGAGGACACTGAACTTAAATACATTCAAAATTAATCAAATTTTCTAAGCCTATCTTTTGTAACTGCAAATTACACAAAATAAACACAACTTATTGTAAAAATCGAAAAAGGAATAACCGCTCCCTGTCTGCCGCTGAGGTTATGACCCACAATCTGGAATCGGAGATAATCATCCAGGCGTAATCGTGTAAATGGGTTTGCGGGGTATATATATTTAATGGTTTTCTTTGTTTTCAATTGAATTTTAATCAGTGGTGTTTCTATGATCTTTACAAAGGTTTCTGTATTGATGGATTATCTTTACTACAGAAAAAAGTTATATCTGAACGTATTACTAAATAGATTCACTCTTGGCGAAAGGAAAGAATAACTTTGCATGCCAAGTGTATATTGAAGATAAAACAACAGGCTTGTAGTTCTTGAAATTCCTCCAAATTTAATGGGAACCAATCAAAAAAATAGATATATGGACTAACTACTAGCTATGACTTAACTATAAACACAACCTAGACGACGCCCCATACCTCCTCGAAGGCAGAGCATATTTTAGAGCACGCGATGGCCGCCGAAAGTGGATAGTTGCTGATGGAGAACAATTCCTCTGTGTAGTCCGTCTTTAGAACGCCATGTGCGAAGGCTCCGATGACAATGACCACGGGTTCATCATAACTGGCGGTGCCTTCCTCGCCATGTGGCACCAAATCCCGGCAATTGGGCAAAAGTTTACCAGAGAAACTCATGGCGTATTTTTTGCAACCGACCGGGACATGATCTGTGACGGGATTTTTGATCACACTCATCAATCGTCGAGACGAGTCATTGGCACGGATTTGGAACTTGTGCAGTAATTGGACCATTAAACCAGCAAAACGTTTAAATGTCCTAGGAATACGGGTCTGTGGATTGATTTCGATCAGGACATTGTGTTCCGTTCGTACGAAAACCTGGAGAAGACCAGCACGATTTAGTGGAGAATCGAAGAGCATCAATAGGCACTGATGGGTGATATCCGGACGACATGATCCCGGATCCCTTTGGTTTTTACGCATAATACCAGCATGATCATCGCAATTCAGCAACTCGAAGGTGTTGTGTACCTTTGGGGAATAGGATAGGAATACTGTTAGGTTTTTCTTGGGCTCTATATTAGTTATAATGACCTACCTTGACTGTCTCCAGCTGGGCACCTTCCAAAACGATTATTAGCCGCTTCTCGGTGGCATTCAAATGGAGCACCTTGAATTGTTTCTTGTCCAGATCGAATTCTGGATCATCCGCCTTGCGGCCCACAAACTTGCGCTTCCTGTTGATCGCCTTTCCTTGGCCACCCATTTTGTTGAGGATTTGGAGTTGACAAGGAGAAACGATTTGATTATCAAAATATCTTCAAGAAATCCGCACGTTTTTTCGAAATACACAAGTTCAGTATGACCTTAAGGCGGGTTCTTTCAAATACCTTACTTAAAATATACCAACGAAAATAGCAGGCTGAAAAATACTAGAAATTTAAATTTTGAATTTGTTTATCTGTTTTTATCAAGTATAGGGACTAACTTTATGCAGTTAATTTATAAAATATTATTTTTTTTTTAACTTTCTTAGGGCCACTAAATTTGTGTATATTTTAGGGACTCTTCAGCTCATATCTCAGCCATATAACGTCGCAGTCAAAAATCAATTACACATTTCGACAGCTACTTTTAAGATTGTAAAATGTGGATTTGAATTTTTGAAATCTAACAAAATTTCATTTTTTCGAATTTTTGAAATTTTTGTAATGGGTAGCATCATCAAAATGACCAAAAAAATGAAAAAATATTTTTTTCCAAATATTTTAATTCCTTGAATGCAGAAATTATTTAATTTAAAAATAACGAATTTAAAAAGAAACCGCAGCCAAATCGGTCAAGATTTGGCAAAGTTATGAACAATTTCAAGAACAAAATATGTAAATAATGTGACCATAGTCAGTTTTTGTATATCCATGGTATCCCTCTCTGGGCACACGCCGGCAAGTTTGTTTGGATTTGCCGAACCGAACGCAATATTTTGGTTTTGGATCTCCGGATCTGGAATCCACGTCCTAGTCCTGATCCTTCAAACCGCCAAGATGCGCCTGTTCCCGCTGGCATTTACTGTGCTTCTTGGCATTTTCCACCTGCTACTGGCCTGCAATCACTGGGTACTACGCGAGGAGCAGATCGTTCCCAAACTGGATTCACCCTTTCACATGCGGGAACCACAGAATTTGGCGGCATTTCTCGAGCAGATTAGATACAGTGAATATGTGGAGAAATCATATTTAGATTTGTTACGAAAACGTGAACAGATTGTAGAGCATCTGAGATTTTCGATGCGTTTTGGTGAGGATTTGGCTGAGCAGGCCAAGTGCGCCATGGACTACTATATGCTGGAGAAGAGGATGTCCTATTTGAAAATCACTCCAGAGCAGTTGAAAAGGATTAATTTGCCGGATCAGAGGCAATTGCATATACAGAAGAGTGCCTCCGCCATGGGAATGGAACCAGTATGCAGTGATTACCATCGTTTAAGTGTGGGTCCAGCTACCTATGATCATCTAGAGAGTTTTCGGCCCGAGGTTCTGGCCGCTGCCTTCCTGGAACGTGAACATGACACCAATGTGGGCATGGCTACGGTGGAATTAACTCGTCGTTTCGCCGTTGATGGACTGCAGCATCATCCGGCCTCCTGGAAGTTTCACACTTTGAGCTCATACTACTGGCGGATGCGAGGAAATGCCCGTGAAGCGTTGCCCTGCGCCAGATTAGCCACTTTGCTAGCTCCGCCGATATTTAAGGATATACCGCTACTTAGTCTGGGAACCATACTCTTCCGTATGGGCAGATTAGCTGATGCTGACTTAATACTTACCGCAGCGGTGGAGCATGCACCACATGTTGCCGAAAATCATGTGGTTTTGGCCTCGGCGCTGGCCATGAAGCATGATTTCAATAGATCACTGCAACATTTCGATGAGGCCGAGCGATTGGATCCCAGCACATTGCCACGAACCCAACAGGTTCGAAATTTCATAAGTTGTCTGGAGAATCTGACCAAGAAAACTTCCAAAATGTATAGCTATGTGAAATACATGAAGAACGAGGTGAAAGAGTTTAAAAAGCTAAAGCATCACATCTCACAGAATCACGAGAGATTGATCCAACAGCAATTGCCATTGGGAGCGAGACGTCTGCTTGGTTTGGATCCTCAAACGAACAACGATGATCTCCATCGAAGGGGTCAATATTGCAGTACACGGACACCAAATGGTTCCGATGAACCAGTCCTCTTTTGTGACTTCTATTCGGACATGCAAATGCGTTTGGAGAGCAAGGATGTTGATATTGATGTGCTGGAGCGGGATCTCAAGGCCAATACGGATGCTGTTATACGTCAGGTGTCCACCGAGATTCGGAAACAGTTCAATCTAGAGCAGTTAAAGGCGGCCAAGGCACAAATGCCCGCTAAGGCCACCAAGGCTACATAGTAAATAGTATAAATAGCAAACCAGATGGACTGGCACATTCCCCACAAAACTACCAAACACTTCGGGTCACAAACTAGCTTTTACTTTTAATCTGTTCATATAGTATTTAGGTATGTGTGCGAGAATCGTGAGTGTATATATATATATATTATATATATTAATCAAGATACTGGATAAGTCTTCAGGTATAGTTTAAACGGACTAGGCATATAAGCAAGGGATCTTCGAGCGGAGGTTTCACGAATCTATAGTTTGAAATAGATTACTAACTTTTTACGCATTTTATTCCAATAAGTTTTAAAAATAATATATTTTTCACTTTCTTTGGCTGATCACAATTACATTTCTTAGATTTTTAAACTGTTTGTTTACGTAAGATTATGTTTTTAATTAAGAAATATTTTAAACAAAACAAACCTGCTCTTTCGGCCATATAAAATTTGATTTAAGTTACATTAAGTAAAACATTTTGACACATTCGATAAGAGTTAAGTTAAAGTCTTTGAATTCCTTTGATTTTTATTATAATGAAACCCATTAAGGGTTCCGATAGGTTAGTTTTTATACAACTTTGTTTTGCATTCGTCTAGACTCTAGAACCTCCCTCGAATGTCCCAAAAAGTACATAGAATCGCGACTATATATTTAACACTAGTTTTACATCCTGTTCTGTTTCTTAATCGTAAAGAAATCTATAAAAATAACAACAGCCATGAGCTAATCAAAGATCAATGGTTTCCTGAGTCGATTTCCTTTGGTGAATCACCATTTTATTTCTTTGGTTTTCAATGTCTCCAGAAGATCAGATAAATTGGCAAAGGAGTGCTGGTTACTATTATCATTTACCAGCAATCCACTCCACCCACAATTCCTAGCACCTTCGTAATCCAAATCCAGTTTGTTGCCAATATGAAGAGCCTGATCCGCTGGGATATCCAATCTTTTCAAGGGGATTTCAAAAATTCGCCGATCAGGTTTCATAAAACCCGCCTCGTACGAAGTCAAAATGAAATCAAATTTTCCGGCATAGCCCATGGTGTCAAGGACTTGCGGTAATGAAGGATCAAAATTGGAGATTATGCCCACACATTTACCGGCATTACGGACGCTTTGTACCAATTCTTGACCGCCTTCAACATGATTCCAGCAGGTGCTTGTACGAAAATGAGTAATTAACCTATGGCCAATCTTCTCCAGCTTTTCGTGTGACAATCCCTGATCAACACAGATAAAAGTTTGAGCAACAAACTTTAGCCACCACTGCTGCCAATCCATTTCCGGTGAAAAACGGCCAAAGTTTGGATGTTCGCTGCTCATTGCCTTGAACTGCTGGCGAAAACATTGCTCTAACTTACGGCGATCCACTCCGGTGACCCCGAACTCCTCTGCCGTTTGCTGGTACTGCCGAAGGGGATCATTCAGGCGGAGAAGTGTGTCCGTCACATCGAAGGTCACCAGGCGAAAGCGTTTCAAATTCGCAACAAATTGCGAAGTCAACGACATTTTAGTCACCAGTGTGGTACTGTGAACTGCCGGGTATTACGTATACGTATTTGGTATTTTGGAAATTGGAAAATTTTTCAGTTAGTTTGGGTTTACGTTTATAATACAAAAATTCATGATTTATTTATTATTTTTCTTATATTTTTATTAAGTTTCTAACTTTTAGGTTTTCTTCAATACGTTTAAAAAACTTGATATTACGACTAACATCGTGTAGTTTTCATTTTTGATTTTTAATATTAATTATTATTAATATTATATTAACCAGCAATAGATCTTCTTACTGTATATCTGCAAAAATTCCACATAAATTTCAAAAATTTAAACATAATAAATAAAATATAAGTTTAAAATTTATCAACCAAAAAATACCAAATTCAGTATTTTTACGTTTCGCAACACCTGCTGTGTGTATTTGTCGGCATTAATTTGCTGCCCGCCGGCGGGCACACTAAACCAAACGAAAATAATTTTGTTACAAAAAAAAAATCAACAAATTGTATTGTTAAATGGCCGTGCGAACACGACAACACAAAAATCCGCCGCAGCGCTCGATTCCAAGCCAAATCCTCGTGGCAGTCGGTAGTTAATAATACCGCAAATCGGCCAGATCGAAGGATATATACCATCCATATCCAAGTAGAATACCATCATCCAACGAAAGATCGGAGGAGTATACATAGAGGAGGAGATTCCGGGTAGATCCAACGTTACGTGATTCCGGGTGATACGGATTCGAATCTGGCTGGGATTGAGTTTGGCATTGGAATTAGTGGATTGTTATCTGTAGATTACCATCGATGCCCCACGATGAATGTGAGAAAGCGGCCACGTCTGGAAATGGAACTTGGTTCCGCCACTACCACCACCACCACCTCCTCTTCTTCCTCTGTAACCAGCAGTAATCCCAATCCTTCTGCTTCATCTAATAACCTCATGACCAATATCATTGGCAATCATCACACGGCCGATTTATCAGAAGCCCTGGTCAGCAGTTCCTTTGCCAATGGCCATCAGAGTTTAATATTAACCAGCGCCACGAGTAATGCCCTAATGAATAGCCAGGGTGCCCAAATATTCCTCACCATATGCGGTGATGAGAACTCGGATGATTCTCAGGAGTACTATGCCATTAAACAGGAACCCGGCTCCGATTTAGATGTCCATTCGCTGCTGCCCACAAATTTGCAGTTGCCAACAGGCTGTGAAATTTATCTGGTTAAGGATACAGCCAGTTTGATTGGTGAGCCACCGACCAAGGCAGCCATTAAATTGGAACTGGATACGTTGAGTGAAAAGCCGTGTCGTCCCACAATAACAACATCCTGCACGAAACCCTTGTTAGTAACAAGTCAACCTGTGAATCCTGCTGCTCCTCCTTTAAGTAATAAAATCACAACAACTAGCACCACAACCAGTGTCCTCTATGGCTCCCATGGCCACGCCCAGGCCAGATCCCAGCCAGAAACAGCAGGCCAAACGGCAAACAGTAAACTGGAGGCGTACAAGAAACGCGATGATAAACGTCGTGCCACGCACAACGAAGTGGAACGCCGGCGACGTGACAAGATCAATAGCTGGATCTTTAAGCTCAAGGAAATGCTGCCCAGTCTGAGCTCCAGTTCTAGTTTCAGTGAGGCCAGCACGAGTCCCAGTACTAGTGGAAGTACGAGTACCAGTGGAAGTACTACTAGTAGCAGCAACAACCCCAAAGGGAATCCCAGCAGTTCCAGTGGACGGACGCCGCCCAACGATTCCAAGTCGCAGATTCTGATCAAGGCGTGCGAGTACATCAAAAGCATGCAGGGCGAGATTGACACGTGAGTGGGGTCGTCATTCCAGGGGGAACACCGCATTCTAGAATGGAAATCTTAGTTTATACTTAGATCTGTAAATCCTTCTTGGGAAATCACATTTTCAAACTAAATCTTCTTTTAAAACCATATGCCTTCTTCGAAATCATTTAAAAACCGAGTCTGGAATTTGATATCCAAGAAATTGTTTGCTTTTTGTCTGTGTTTAAACATAACTTTCGTTTCTATTTACATAATGTATCAGATTTATTGGGAAATCAAGTTGCGAACTTGATCTTCTTCACATTTTTTATTAGGTATACGCATTGAAAGTGCTGATAAAGCTGGTATTATCTTTGTAACAAAAAACCCGTCGAGGTTATTTTGTGATTATCTCATGCAATATGAGCTGAATTCTCGAGTATCCCAGTATGATTCAAGGCAAGGCTTGAACAAGAGATTTCCATAAACTACGTCTGCGGTTTTCTCCCTAAAATAAATAAAATATTCCCCCCCAGTGATCATCGGGAATGTATAAAAAAACTACTCAATTTTATGTTTATCCTACAAAAGGCTACGCGACTGTCTGAGGGAAGCGGATGGCCTGAGGGCTAGCAACCAGGCTTTGCGAGAGGAATTGGATCGCCTGAAGCGTCAACAACAGCTTCAAGAACGTTTTCACACAGCCAGCGGCAGATCGACCTTCAATGTGACTCTTAATTCGCTGAATAGCTCGGCGACCAGTGATCTTTTCGAGGGTATCGATACGACGCCCAACCTGGCCGCCGTCTCATCGCTGGGTTTCGGCAAGCGTGGCCTGCTCATCAGTGATTACGATGAGTAAAGATGGGTGGTGGATGATGATGATGATGATGATAATGTGGTTACGGGTTACGGAAAAAACAACAACAAAAAAGAATAAAAAAGGGAGGAAAAAAAACGGAGGCGGATGGACAAGCGCTGGCGCCTCCATAGATATATACGCCCATCCACCAAAGAATGACGTGCAACGTACACGCAACGCAACACACGCAGTACAATAAACGGACATGACGAGTGATTTCTTGTTATCGCCGCTCTGTTATATGTTATATAAGAGAAGCATATTACATATATGTATATATCTATCTATATACATATGAATATGCAGTCGAACTTGGGTGACTCAAGCCAACTTGTTGGCCTAACAGCTTCTGAAAATGGAAACTGAACTTTTTCTGTTCTCAATTGAGTTTAATTAACAGCTGCTTTTGTATGCTATATATATTTGGTATTGGTATTATTTCTGCCCTCCCTCCATCCTACCCAATAATGAACTCCCCCCTCCAAAAAACTCTCAAACGAATTTGTAAATGGGAATATGATTAAGATTTTTCCCATAACTGCGCTGGTTCATTTTTATGTTTTCATATTTATGGTTCTGGGATAGAAGATCACAAAATAATATTGTTGATATAAGAAGCTTTAAGGCATTTTCCGGTTTTTCTATGTATTCTTTATTTTTTATATACCTATTATTATGTTAATTATATTTTAAATATATATTATTGTTTTTGATTTGCACAGCAAATCTATAGTTAAGCCATGTTCTAAACTAGTAGTTCTCTGTGTTCATTTAAGGTAAGCTTTTTCGGTTACTATTTTCACTTTCAATCGGAGATTTAAATGTCTAAAAATATAAAAATATAATATATATATATTTTTTTCAAAAAGTCAAGTAGTTAAAAATTAAATAACAAAAATAATAATATCAAATTTCCAACTGAAAGTGAAAGTAAGTACTGAAATAGCAAGAATTTAGTTTTAAGTCTGCTGCGGTGAGCTTGAGTAACAAAAGTTCGATTGTATAGTTTGTCAGGTGTTTTTTTTTTTTTTTTTTTAATGAAGAGCACTTAGATCCTCATGAAGTTTGCCATCATTATATACCTATATATATATATATTATATATTACCTAGAAGTAAACAAAAACTAAACCTAAAAAAACGTTAACGATACCTACCTACTTGCATATATACCTTGAACTAAATCATATTTGGAGCATGAATGTGCTTGATTTTTCGATTTTATTGTACTGTTTCTCGCACTAATTACCTAAAATAACGTAAAGAAATTATATATTATATCTAGTTATATCGTATATATATTATATATATATATATATCTATAGAAAATTGTACATACGTAGTGCAATCGATAAGACAAAAGTGGGAAATCGAGAGAGATGCGGCTATATAATGCCGCACTCTTCATCGGGGGCGTGTGCACCGTTACAGTTAAAGAAAAAAACAAAAACAGAAGAAGAAGGCTATTGTTGATAAAGAATAATATTATTATATTTGAGCATAAACTTGTTGTGAATGTTATATCACTGTTTTCGATATACGATGATGCTGTTTCAGAAGTATACAGAACAAAATGTTTTAAATACGAATAATTTGTAATATTTAACGATAATGCCAAAACAAAAACAAAAACCAAAAAAAACACACACACAAAAACACTAAGATTTTGGGATTGTAAGAGAGGGTACGAATAGGGAATCGCATTGTTTGACCTGACCCATAGACGAAAACAACAAAAACATAAACAAAATACAAATGGGATCTTGTGTTACTTGTTGCTATCTATATACAGTACATTACAATAATATCACATTTCTGTCATTTGACAGCAGCTAATAATTCTATTCAATTTCAATAAACGAACTCAGTAATGGTTAACACACACACACATACGCGATCAATTTCTTATTCAATGGTAAACATATTTTTGTTAGAATGCGGGCAATTTTTTGGAATCATCTGTCGACGAATATGGTGGCTTATTTTTACAGCTGCCATTTGTTGGTTTTGCTATCATACTCATTGAGTCACAAAACAGCTTGAAAAAACAAAGATCATATTCTTATCAATGCAAAAAAGAGAGCTGTTCCTTATTCACTTTGTATTTTGATTCACTTTGTATATTTTAAGACCCCCCCCAGATTTGTCATTTTCCATATGACTCTCTTCTTTAAGTTTTAATAACACATTTAGCGAGTAATATACATATATATTTCGAAATCCACAAGCCTTTAAAGTTATTAAACATCGCATATCAAAAGACAATATAAATATTATTAAATGCTAACATTGCACTTTAAGTATCCATTGTACATCATAGTTTTAGACGATCACTCGTTTGGCGTAATCACCGACATGTAACAATCCGTGTTCCACGGATGCAATATGCAAATTAGATCCACTCATGTAGTCCACATTGATGTGGGCATTTTGAAGTTCTGCAATTAAAGTAGAGCAGGCTGCTGCGGGATCTCCAGTGCTGACAAGCATACCCTAAATTAATAATATGAGTCTTCAAAAAATCATACAGTTTTATACCCTATTAGTCACTCACCGACCAAAATTCATTGCCAGGCAGGGCATTGCCATCCCAGGCATATGTAACTACGGGCAGCATGTCCTCTGTTAGTTTATCGGCAGGATTACGTGCTGAAATTCGGATACGAATGCCACCCTGTGGATGTTTCGCTACGGGAAGCATGGCTCCATCGTACAAGCTGCCAAATCCTGGGGAATGAAACCAAGAAAAGTGCACTACACCGATGTGTGTGAGTCGATCGCCAAGTGCCTTTAACCTTTCCTCAAAGGATTGAAAAAAGGTGCGATCCTGTTTTAAAGCGGCTTTCCAAACGCCCAAACCGATGCCCACGACATGGATAAAGGCGGGTTTGCCAACCTTACGGGCTCTATCCTGTGCCTCCAAGAGTAGGGTATCAAAACTGATGGCATATCGTTTGCACATCACTTTGTGATCGAATATGCCCTCAGGGACCTCTTCAAAACGGTCTTTATCCGAGGGTACCTCACCATAAATAAAGTCCGTGGGTTCCTCGTAAAATTCTCGCCAGATTCTACGTAAATCTGAAGTTGGAGTATTGGTCGCACTGGAGGCATTTAATGGTCCATAACCTTTAGTTTGGGTATTTTGGGTCTCGGTAATCATAATATCTTGATACTCCATTACATCGGGACGCTCGAAACGGGCACCAATTAGACCAATTATCACGCCTTCGCGTTCAATTGTAGTCTTATCCTGAGTCACCACCCCAGCATTCGATCTACTTCCATTGTTGATGAATTCAGAGTGTGTGGAAACGTAGAGTAGGGCGGACAATTTGATCTCATCATAGCTTAGCACTGAGGTTATGTTTAGAGGATCTTTTTCCGCCGGAGTGCCCACCTGTTCGAAGCCTTCGTCCCCGACTTTTCCGTCTATGGTGTGATAGTAATCATTAGCGCCATAGAAACACACGCATCTTTTTGTCAAAAGGCGCTGCACAAAGTCCACCACAGACATGTCCCTATAGATGGCCTTCTCCTGTTTGCTTCCTGTAGGTATTGGGGTTTACAAATTTGACCTATAACTGCAAAATAATGTGGTTTACTACCCACCAAACTTGAGCTTGTGCTCCAGAAAACTAATGTAGAGCAGAAGGGTTCGTTCATGAATCACCGGATAGGCGGATGCAATTTGTTTACGGATTTGATTATACCGATCCACCGGTTGGGACTTCACCCGACAAGTATCGATGCTAAACTTCAATTGGGGTTGACCAAGGGGATTATCAAGGAATGTTCTAGGATATCTACTGAGTTTTACCTTGGCGGGAAACTTCTCTGATAACGCTTTAAATTTATTCAAATCCACCGGCACTTTGGGTTTTTCCAACTGGCGACATTGTTGTAGCATTCGTTGGCCAAAATCACTTTCTGGAAGAATGGGATATTGTCCAGGCCAGAAGGCTGCAGATTTTCCACAAATATCACCCATCATGCGACTCATTGAAAGCAGATGAATAAATGATCTCAGTAGACTTCCCCGGGCTCCAAAATTTGCCATTGATAAGGAATAAGGAAAAAAAAACAAAATAAAGCTTTGGGTCAGTGCTGTAAAGTGTTTGATAAATTTGTTATATTATGTTTCCACTGGCTTTTCTAATGGAAGCTAAAAATTGATTTCGATGCTTATGGTTATAAGCCGAAAAACAATTTGATAGAAGAAATATTCTATATATTATATAGTCTTTTTAAAAAAGATCACTCGAAATACCATATACAATATTTGAAACTTCTAACTAAAGATATATGCTCTTCTATTTGAAATGATGGAAATGGTTACTGTCGACCTACCAAAACTCTTTGAATCTCTCTCAATCAAGTTTTTTAAGTTTCCATTAGGAACCCAATCATCTATGATCTTTTCTACTCCGTAACTTGCGAAAATTCGAATATCATTTTGATTTTGTTGTGGCCACGGCTCGTGTTAATTTTCATTTATTTTATAACATAAAAGATTTTTATAATATTTAATTGAAACATACACTATGTGGCATTTTCCCCCCTAACGAATGTGTGTCTGAAAATATTTTCTGTCCCGTTTCTATTAGGAGATTTGGTCTTTTTGAACAAAAAAAAAAATTGATTTCTCTAATAGATACATATATATATATATATATATATAAATCTCTTTAAAAGGTATTTCTAAACGAAGACAAGACAGTTACAAATATTTCCATCCACTAGTTACTTTTTACATGGTATTTTATTTTAATTACAAAAAGGATGTTAATCGTTTAAATTAATTCTGAGACTGCAACACGCTTTGCCCACACACACACATTTCCCCCAGTTCAGTGTGGCGCTTGCTTTCCTCCTTCGCTTCTTCGCTCCTCTCAATCCTGGTTTCTTCTTGACGGGATTACACGACGCGCTTGACCTCAAAGAAGCGCTTTAGGTAGTAGACCTGGCCCACAGTCATGAGGACCAGTACTAGGGCTTCGAAAGTGGACCACAGGACCACCCGCGAGTTAGTGCTCTCGTTTACCGAGCGATGGATCTTGTCGCGCACCTGAAAGAGTCGATAAGTTGGGGGATTAGCATACGATTAACCAAAGAACTAGATCTCTATAATCTTTGATACAGATTTTGTTGTGATTAATGGCAGGGTTGTGTTTAATGGTGTCTTGACATCATCTCTCATCATCGTTCACATAAAAAGACCATTAAAAACCTTTACTATTGTTTATGTGGCAAGCCACACGCCTTCTCCACTCTTGACGTGTATCTATGATACTATAGATATTTACTTAACTATCTCAGTACTCTAGCATTGCTTTGTGTGGTCTTTGATCTAGGAAGTGGAAAGGATAGATCAACTACTAGACTTCTTGCAAGGCAATACTAATCTTTCAATAACTTAAAAGATCCACACGCCTTTGTATGGAATGTATGTGGCAACTGATTGCTGGTCTCTAGTTTCCCCATTTCACTCACATGCATGTACTCCTGTTCGTGCTTGACGCTGGTCAGAGTGCCGGAGAGTTCCCGGATCATATCCTCCAGCTTGGTGTGTCCCACCTCCTCTTCGCCAGGTGCTCCGGGAGCACGTTGTGGTGACTCGCCCACGTCGATCGAGAACATAACCAGCTTAGGTGTCATGCTGCTACGTTCGTTGTTGAAGCAAACAGTGTAGGTTCCCTTGGCGGGGGTCACGAAGGTGTACTTGCCGGATGACTCCTTTTCACTTTCGTGCATGATATGGTTGTCGGGTCCGCTGATTTTGATGTCCACGTCCAAGAAGCCACCGTCAATCACTTCAAACGTGACGCCTGTAAAGATAATGATAGTTTTATCAGTTAAATACTTTCTATATGGACTACTAATATCCATATCACCACATACCGAATTTCGTGCCGCCTTCGATATTCTCGAAGAAGCACTCCTCGTTGTGGGCGTCCACGCTGACGATGAAGGCCTGGCTAGTGCTGCACAGGACCAGCAGACTGCCCATAACAAGCAGAACCTTGGCTACCGTTCCTTCCATCGTTGTTCTGGGTACTTTTGGCTTAGTTTTAATCACTTTAAAACGTACGGCAGCCACGTAGTTGTCGAGTTGTTCGCGAAACAGTAAGGCCAGATGGTTAAGCTGTTAAAAATCATGAAAATACATTGCGATGGTCATACTGTTAGTGGGGGCAGCTCGGCCAACAGTTTACCATTTTGCCGAAAAACCTCTCTTATTTTAGTGTTATTATAATATTATAATATATTTTATGTTATATTTCTTCCGGTTTAAAAATATAATATAACATTTATTCGCGAACGTACAAATTTAAACTTATTCACGAATTTTCCAACACTGTAAACTTTCGGTATTTTAAGTTAAACAGTGTATTGTGGTATTTTTTTTGGCGTGACCATCGATAGTTGCTCACCACTAGAAAACAGAAAGCTAAAAAAAAAATGCAAAATTGGCCAAATTTTCGACATAAATAATAGTTTTCCCTTGAGAAATTCGCAAACTGCGTGGCAGGACGACCAGCTGACCACCCCGATCCTCACGTGGATTGGAGATTCATATATAGGTGGCAGCCAGATCGAAGGTTTCACAGCGGACGCTTTTGCAAAAATAGAAAAAGGAAAAACTGCCAACTCCCACACAAAAAAAAAAAATTAAAAAGAAAAGGAAAAGGTCAAGTGGTCATCAGAATCAAGGGTAATCTCCTCGAAAATGCAGCAGAATACGGCTAGCAATCCGTTCGCCATGTCCACATATGTGGAGCGACCCCAAATGGGTTTGGATGTGGAATTTGGTGCGGACCCTGCCAGCGGTGCAGCATTCTTTCAATCCGATGGACGGAAACATGATGATCTTAAGCTAATGTTGGACAGCAACAAGGATGGACTTAAACTAGAGGCCATGAAAAGGATCATTGGGATGATTGCCCGCGGAAGAGATGCCAGTGATCTTTTCCCGGCTGTTGTCAAAAATGTGGTATCAAAGAATATCGAGGTTAAGAAGTTGGTATATGTCTATTTAGTGAGATATGCCGAGGAGCAACAGGATTTGGCCCTGCTTTCCATTTCCACATTTCAAAGGGCACTCAAGGATCCAAATCAACTTATCCGTGCTTCGGCCTTGCGGGTATTATCCTCCATAAGGGTCAGCATGATTGTGCCGATCGTAATGCTGGCAATTCGAGATAGTGCTGCCGACTTGAGTCCGTATGTGAGGAAGACAGCGGCCCATGCTATTCCCAAGTTGTATTCTCTGGATGCGGATCAAAAAGATGAACTGGTCATGGTCATAGAGAAGTTGCTATCGGATCGCACTACGCTGGTAGTGGGATCTGCAGTGATGGCCTTCGATGAGGTGGGTCTACAAGCTCGGCTAATCTTCTTTATCTACTACTAAGGATCTGTATTCATAGGTTTGCCCGGAACGCGTGGATTTGATCCATAAGAACTACCGCAAACTGTGCAATCTTCTCGTAGATGTGGATGAATGGGGTCAGGTGATTATCATCAATATGCTTACCCGCTATGCACGCACTCAGTTTGTCGATCCCAATGCGGATGACGAGGACTTGGTGAATGATGGTCTTGGTGAAACGCCTGTTAACGAACGCTTCTATGATGAATCCTCGCACTCATCTTCCAACAGCGATGATGGTAGTAGCGATGATGAGAAGAACAAATCGCGTACTAATAATAATAACAATAATGGCGGTGGCAATGGCAGTAGGACACCAAGTTCTCCAAGCAATAGCTACCACATCGATGTGGATCATCGTCTGTTGTTGAGGCAAACGAAACCGCTGCTTCAATCGCGAAATGCCTCTGTGGTGATGGCAGTGGCACAGCTATATCATCATGTGGCGCCCAAGAATGAAGTCCAATTGATTGCCAAGGCGCTTATACGACTGCTTAGATCGCATAAGGAAGTCCAAAGTGTGGTTCTCAATTGCATTGCCTCGATGTCCACCAAGCGAAAGGCGATCTTTGAACCGCATCTGAAGTCCTTCTTTGTACGGACCAGTGATCCCACGCACTTGAAACTGCTCAAGCTGGATATTCTTACCAATTTGGCTTCGGCGGGCAGTATTTCGCTTATCCTGCGTGAATTTCAGACCTACATCTCCAGCAGCGATCGTTCGTTTGTGGCGGCTACTATTCAGGCCATTGGACGATGTGCATCCAGCATTAAGGAGGTTACCGAGACCTGTTTGAGTGGCCTGGTACATCTGCTGTCCAACCACGATGGTGGGTTTAGCTAGATTTCCTCTTAAATCTGTTATTTAACCATGTCATATTCCCTTCAGAACATGTGGTGGCCGAGAGCGTGGTGGTGATTAAGCGTCTTCTTCAAACGAAAGCAGCCGAGCACTTTGAGATCATCACCCAGATGGCCAAGCTTATTGATTACATTAATGTGCCGGCAGCAAGGGCGGCCATTATATGGCTTATAGGCGAGTACAACGAGAAGGTGCCACTGATTGCCCCGGATGTGCTGCGTAAGATGGCCAAGTCGTTTGTCGACGAACAGGATGTGGTTAAGCTACAGGTCTTGAACCTAGGCGTTAAGCTCTATCTGACCAATCCAGACCAGACGTCGCTATTGTGTCAGTATGTCTTTACGTTGGCCCGCTATGATCCCAATTACGATGTCCGTGATCGCGCTCGTTTCCTGCGTCAGATCATCTTCCCGGCCAGTGGAACGAGTTCGGTGCTCAGTCAGCATGCCCGCCAAGTTTTCCTGGCCAGTAAACCGGCTCCGGTGCCAGAGAGCAAGTACAGGGATGGCAATAACTTCCAATTGGGATCATTGTCCCACTATTTGAATATGCCTGCAACAGGCTATAAGGAACTGCCTGCATTTCCGGTTATTCCACCGGATTCTTCGGTTCGTAATATAGCTGGTTTTATGCAGGAAAAGCTGCCGGGCGAGGATTCGCCATCGGGGCGCTCTAAGGAAAAATCCGCCGGTGGAAGTGGTGGAAAGGAAAAAGGTGCGGGTGGCGAGAAGAGTTTCCTATCCGAATCTGAGGACAAATCGTCAGCGTATTCAGAATCAGGGAGCAGCAGTGGCAGTGGCACCAGCGACAGCGGTTCTGATAGCGATGATAGCGGGAGCAGCGATGAGGAGGAGGAACAGAAGCAGCAGCAACAGCAACAGCAGCCGCCCGTAAAGGTTTCTTCGAAAAAGGAGCAGCTCATTGATGCTGGGAGCAGTGAAGTGACAGTGGATTCTACGACAGTAAAAGCAACGACGAACAATAATAATAATGCGGCTGGTTTCTCCGGAACCTCGGACAGCGAAGACTCATCGGCGTACAGTGGCAGTAGTAGTGATGATAGTGATTCCGATAGCGACAATGAAGTGGAAAAGAGGCAGCCAGAAATTAAGCCGGAAAAGATCAAAGAAAAGCTAGAGAAAAAGCCTGAACAGCCGGCCTCGAAAAGTAATCTGGATCTGTTGCTCGATCTGGATGACATTCCGCCCATTGGTCCTGTGATGACGCCCTCACTAGGAGGATTCCTAACGCCTGGTAAATGAAATGATTATCTTACTGTTATATAGATTACATCTACTATTGTGATTTTGTAACAGGGACTCCATTGATGGCTGGACAGGCGGCACCACTGCAGCCACAGCATGCCCGTAATCGAGTCGAACTAGTGGGTCCCTCGCACATTGAGTTCAAGCACAAGGAGCTGCTTAATAAGGTCAGTGGCCATGGGCTGCAGTTGGCCTACCGCTTCACCCGCTCGCCGCATCTCTACTCCTCAAGCATGTGCTCCATTGAGCTGCAATTCCAGAATCGTGGCGAGAAAGAGATTACGGCCATACGTTTGGGCCAAACAACTCTGCCGGCGGGCATGCAATTGAACGAGTTTGCTCCTATAACCATTCTTCAGCCGCAACAAACAGCCAGTGGTGTACTGGGCGTGGATTTCAATGATTCCACGCATGCTGTGGATCTGGAGCTAATCTCCAGTGCGGGCAGTTCACGGCTGCAGTTAAAGCCGCCAGTGGGCGAGCTAGTTAGATCCGTCCAAATTGGCGAAAGCTGTCATCGCGAGGAGCGAGCCAAGCTGCGTGGCATGAACGAGCATCAGTGCGAGTTACGGGGACTGCGTCGGGATCTAATCGATGTGGCTGCCCTGCGGCAAAAGGTTTTCGAATCCATCAATGTGGCGCATACGCACAGCTCTTCCAATGGCCAACTGCATTGTTTTGCGGGTCAAACCCTAAGCTCCAAGAGCCTAGTGCTTCTCACCCTGCACTGGCAAACGGAGGAGGCACTCACGTTGCTGGTGAATTGTGAAAAGATGGTCATTGGATCCATGGTGCTCAACGAACTACGGAATGCCCTCCAGTTAAGCTTCGCAATGTAAGCGATCGATCGTTGGACATGAAAGAAAGCGAGACAGCAGGGAAATAACCTGGGAGCAGGGCTACTCAACTGAGAACAAAGCAAAGCGCCGCCGCCTCACTACGTAAATCTAAGCATTCATATTTAGCTATATATATATATATATACTGTAAAGGGCGTGGGCGAACGTAATCTTTGAATTAGTTCCAAACTATCTCTACTGCAATAATTCCTAAACTAAAAAAAATTCAATCAAATGTGCAATGTAACTTTTGGAAGTGCAATAGGTTTATCATATATCATATAATGTCAAATTAAATTCCGAACGAATTTTCAAATTTGGAATTCAAACCTATTTGCTATATTTTTTTAAAACTGTTAAAAACTGATGAAATGTAATCACAGCCACAAGCCCTCAAAACTATATTTATTGTTATTGATTTTTGCTAAATTCCTATTGGAAACCTTAAATGAAATTGTTAAATTTAAATATTTTCTATATATATTCTTAACTCAGCTGAAATATTTTGCACTAACGAGTTGCCATTTCCCTTTTACAAATGGTTAAACTCAACAACTTTGAGATTAGTATTAGTTTACAAAAAACAAAAAAAAAAAACAAAATCAACTTGTTAAATCGTTCAAGGATTACTTGACGCCCCGCCCAATTATACACATGAAATCATGAATCTATCGCTTTTAATATTCCTATATACAAATTGCAACCACAAATTCCAGATAATGAAACGAGTTGGATTATTTATTAAAACTCGAATTGTTGCCAATCCAAATCCAAATCCAAATCCAATCCTATCCATCCTAGTTAGCTAGGCGTGTATAATGTAATGTGTGTGTGCATGAGTAATCGAAATGTATTTGTAAAGTGTTTGATGTTGTAAATCTGTTGCCTTCGTGCTCTATGCGGCCTTCTTCAAATCGTAGCAAAGACAAACGAATATCGAATCTATATATATATATTATATATTATATTCATAAAATATACAGCGCAAAGAAAACATAAAATCTGGCAAACTAAAGAGAGAAAAAAATGAAAGAAAATAATAATAAATATACCAAAATCTGTTAATCTGCCTGAACTAAGCTAAATCTCCGCTTTGATAAGCTGAAATAAAAGCTTAAATTTGAAATTGAGAAAGACGCCGCCTTACCTGTTATACCACAGACAATCCAAACAAATGGATTAACTTTCTGTTTCTGATCACTGATTTGAAGTAAAAATGCTTTTTTCAAGTAGTTTTCAATTATTTTGATGTTTATTCACGCTTGTTCTTGTTACTTTCTCCACTCACCAAACAGAATATAAGGAGTCAGCAACAGTGAATACGAAATGCAGATAAACTTTCAAAACTTTAGAAGGTTTGAAATTTGTAAAATCAATATATCTGATCTATTGGATCAAAGTTGAAAAGCAAATTGAAAATCTACTAAATTCGAAAGTTCTGCAAATGTATTTTCTGTTGCTGTCGCTTGAAATTTTCTGGGATTTAAAAATAAATCTATGTTTTATCATAGATGGGTTAGACCATACTGGGGGGTTTCAAAAACATACAATATAACACATTCTTCAAATCCTACGCTGCTTTCTTCGTTTTTTCTATCAGTGTTCTAGGTGTCGGTGTCGGTGTATTTGTAGTTGTTGTAGTTTTTGTAGTTTTTCGTGTTCTAATTTTGGGTTCTGCACAATTAAAAAGCTCAATTTCATGCTTATAAATATAAACGAGTTAGTTAGATCGCTAGGTTAGTAATGTTTAGTTTAGTTTTGGATTCGCTGCTGCACTTAAAGATCTCAAGTAGTTAGTTTTTAGTAGTTGTAGTTTTCGGTTAGGCTAGGCTTTAAGATCAACACGGCTTGAAGTTTCCGATTGATAAGTGAAGAAATATGTTGGATGTTGATGAGGTGGTGAATCAGTGGTGTGATCAGGCGATGAGTAATAAGTTTGTATAATGAGTAGGTATGTTTTTTTTCTTTAAGGGCGGGGATAGATAGCATGTACGTATAATATGTGTTAATTTAATATATCGGGTAGTATGGGTATATGGGTATGTATGGGTATGGTATGTATGTAATAATGGGGAGTGAATAGTTTTTGACAGGCATATAAGTAGAGCGTTTTGTATATAGTGTTGTCCTGGGCTGGGGTAGAATCGTTCTCTCCTCCTTTTCGCTATCCTGTATACTCGTTATATAATATATGCCACGGCCTTCGTTCGCTTAACTTCATATAAAACTAGTTTTTTTTTGTTTTTATATATTTCATTTTGTTTTTTTTTCTTTTTAAATGTATATGCAAGATGTATATATCGATTTATGCAGTATGTGTGTATGTCTAAGGATGATTTTCAATCACTTATTGTTACGTACGGTGTTTGGTATAACATGCTTCGCTTGGACTAGCTCGATGGCCTCTTCATCTGTTCTCTCTTCACCACTTCCGTTTTTTGTCTATCTTCAGATCGATTCAGATCCGATTCAGATCGTTCCTTCTTCTTTATCTTCTTCTTCCCCTACTCTCTTACTTCAATAACATATAAAGCATTTTTGGTTTTCTGTTTTGGATTTTTGGTTTTTTTTTTGTTTTGGGTGTTTTAAACGAGCAACGAAATAGTAGTTATCGCTTATCGCACAAACGATTCGCCCGAATATGCCACCGATAACGGACAATCGATAAGCATCGATAGCTGCGAAGCGAAGCATTTGAGAGGGCCTAAAACGGACGGATTGCTACCGTTAGTCAACGGCTAACCGTTCGATGCCTGCTGTTAGTGCATATAAGTCGTTACATTTTGGTTTTCATCACACACTCTCTGTCTCTCTTCCCTTTTTGGTTTGTTATCGTTTGTTTTTTAGTTATCGTTATCGTTATCGTTATCGTTATGCATAAGTATTAGCCTGAGGTGCTCCGAATCGAGATCAGTTGTGAGGTCTAGAGCAATTAACTATTAGGGTGTTATATCCTAGTTATCCGTTAGAAATCTGGGCTTCCACAGCTACCTCCTTTCACCGATCTTTCACTCTCTTTTATGTGATTTTCTGTGTATTGTTTGGTTTTCTTTTTTTTTTTTAGGTGTCTTATTTTTTTCATATCTTTTTTTCTTTGTTTTCTCTTTGTTTTTTGATTACGCCATTATTATGCAGTTATATATGCAATATATATAGAGAAAGCAATACACCCACTCAGGAATATCTACACATACCAAAGACTTACATACATACAGCTATTCCTGGGCGAGTGGGTTTGCCTTTTTTTTTTTTTTTTTTGTTGCTTGTTGCGTGTGTGTTGTGTGTGTGTGTGAGACGTTACTATGGCCATATATATAATTAGATATAGTCCAATAGCACCGGGTGTTATATCGACTTTGCTTAGTGGGTTAAACTGCAGCTCCGTCTAAGGCCGCGTGCTTAGAGCTTCTTGTACCAGTACAGATAGTGCTCCCCATCCTCGACCATTAGCTCGTCCACACCTGCAATAGTTCACACATCGTAATAATCAGATGTTACAGTGATACTTCTACATATTCTCCTATATTTTCTAACTCTTATAAATAGCTTGAGATCTTTGTTGAAGTCAGAGAAGTCTTAACATTGATCTTAAATCTAAATTGAACTTACCAACAGGCGCAATAAGCTGATTCCCGGGCGTATTATTGGGATCGGGCAGCTCTGGCAATCTATAAAGCAGCCAGTAGTGATACCTAATCGATTGATTTTATAAACATCTCATTATTATTTTGAAATCTAATAAGAATTAGATAATAAGAACTCACCCTCGGGGCTCCTCCTTCTTGCCATACAGGGTGTGTACATAGTGACCATTTGGCCATTCCCGCGCCTCGAAAATAAATCTAAAAGGTTATAGGATATCAGTTGGTATTAGGAAGCCTTTTCATTAAGCTATTTTTTCAACTTACCTGGGATCCATTTCGGCCGCTTGGGTCATGGCCTTAAAGAAGCTTGTGTTCTTGGGTGAGATTAGTGACAGGGAGAAGGCCTCGGTCACATTGGATCCCACCCATAGTGTGTATGTGTAGGAGATGTTCTTGGCATCCGATTCTTCGGCGGAGGAACTTAGCCCAAAGGGTACCGCCAATTTGGGTTCACCGTTCTCTGTAGAAAAAAGGTAGAATTACCATAAGTCTAAGGTAACCCAAATCTATATCGAGAAGATTTACTTACCCGTGGGATCGCTGCTTTCTCTTATCACATGGTCGCACTGTAGTGCTCGTACAGCACCCAATCCCTTCCAGCCCAGAGCAAGGATAATGTCCGCTGTAAGGCCTACTCCGATATCGGGTTCTTGACCATCCTGCAGCGGTTCCTCGCTCCAGCCGCCATCCGCCCGTTGACGACTGAGGATGTAACGCGATGCGGCCGTGCGATTCCAATGTCCTGCCGGATCATATTCCAGATCTTGCAGAGCCTGCATAGCCAACGCTGTACTCCTTAGCGATCCAAAGCTTCCACGTTGATCCTGCAGACTGGCCAATCCCCTCGCCGGTCGACGGACAAAGTGCTGTAAATGTCGATGGCGATGATCGGTTACGATGCATCTCAAAGCCAGGATCACCATGGCAATGGCATCAACGCTCTGATCCGTAACACCACTGGCAATGTCCAGAAGTCTTCGGATCTGACGTTTCCTTACATGAGCAGCCGAACTGCAGGCCGACAGAGTGGTGAGAGCGAATTCAATATCCTGGGCCGGTTCATGATGCTGCAGTGTGGCGACCAGGTCGTGGCCATGGAAATGTTTTGGATCTTTACAAAGCGAACCCAAGGCTAGAACATATCTAGCCAGTTTATCGAGATCCAAGGGTTTCGGTAAAGTATGATGACGATCCAGCATGGCCAATATCTCGATCTCCATTTCCTTAACGGATAGTGTATCCTCCAAGTCTTGAATGACCTGAACATGTCCATCTACACTGTCGTTGGGATCTCGACCGCCTGATAGCTCTTTGGCCAGGATAACGACATGGGTATCATTGCCCCAGCCATAATCGGATGCTCGCTTTTCCTTTAACCAATCCAAAGCTCGCAGAATTGCCTCCTGTTCGCCCTTTGTGGGTGGAGCCTGGCCAATTGTCTGATGTTCATGGGGCGTACTACTGCCATTCAGAGCTGTGGGCGTGGCCAGGATCAATGCATCCTGCTGTTGTTGTTGATCTCCACCAGAATTGGCAGCTGTCGTTGTACTCAAAGTGGAAACTGAACTTAAATTGCTGTTGGCATTGCTAGTGTTGATATTGCTGCTAAGCAAACTAATGTTGCTGCTGTGACTGCTGATGTTGCTGTTGGTATTGCCAGTTTGTTCATCGCTGGCTTCGTTGTTTGTATTAAGGTTGCTGCTACTGCTGACTGTTTGATTCTCCAATTCACTGGAAATGGGGGCTACCGCCAACGAAGAGGAGGCTGTGCTAAAGCTCACAGAAACTGGGGAGGAAGAAGGAATCGTCGCCAGTGTCACATTCTCTGCTAGGGAAATCACCGTTGCCGAGCCATTTGCGAAGAAGAAAAGGACAAGGAGCAGCAATAGCCACGGCGGCGACGACAGCGACAACATCCTGCAGTGAATTCTGAAAGGCATTGTTGGTTATGACTTTAAATTTAGTTTCGAAAAAGAGGAAGTTGATATACATATTAAGCTACAATTATCATTTATCAAACCGAAATGATAGTTTGTACTTAACAAAGCCATAAAAGCTCTTAATCTCAATTAAGGTGTTATATCGAAATAATCGATGAAAGACCGTTCAAGTTATCGGTTTTGCAAATGCAATTATAGTTGGGGTGTCTAAATAGATGTTTGTTATTAAGAGAAACGAGGGGATAGCGGCGATGGGTGATGGGTGGCGAAGGATGAGCATAAAGCAGAGACACACAGGACTCGAGGCGTTGCCTTGAACTGAATTTCGCAGGAAAACACGTCATGCGACTTATCGATAATTGGCAACCTGGCGATCGATATCGTCTTGTTGTCGTCCGTTGAAAAACTAAAAAAAAAAAAACCAAAAACGAAACCAAAAAAAGGAAAAAAAACAACACACTTAGTCATCAAATCAAATAAGTGCAACAGCAACAACTTGGCTTTTTTAGACAAAGGTCCTTCGTGTCCTGCGTGTGCGCTTCTATTTGTTTGAGTGTGTCTACTACTATGCCTGTGTGTGTTTGGGTTTGTGTGTGTTTTTATGTGGGGGATGGAAAGTGGGCGGTGGGTGGATAAATGGATGGATGGATGGATGGTGAGCAGGACGAAAACGGGGGGTTGGGGGAGCGTGGGGTGCGGCAGCTGCGGCCGTTCAATTGCCTTTGACAATAAAGAGTTCATTGCGACGACAACAACACACAACACTCCAAAAAAGCTTACATAATAATACAATAACAACAAAGGGCGAGCCGCCAAGGATAAAAGGCAAATCGAGTGTCCCGTTATCAAGCGTTATATACAAGCAATATATCTATGTATATACGTATTTATATATATATAATCCGTAATCCGACTTTTCGCCTTTGTTCGATTTTGACACACTCGAAGTCCTGGATTTTTGTATGTTTCTTCTTTTTGAGCTTGAAGGATATTTTTGATTTGGATTTTGTTTCGTTTTTTGGTTTTTAATTTCGCGATTTTGCGATTTTTAGCTGGCGAAGGCGTTGAATTCTACGCCTTTCTCGATTTTCGCGTTTTCGCCTGCGTTTTCTGCGATTTTTTGATTTTCAATGTTTCAATGTTCTCGGACCGTTCGTTACAGTGTTGCCAGCTTTTATTAAGTTTAAATCGGCTAAAAAAGGATGGAAAATATGCAGCCGATAACTTATCGTCCTTTAAATAAGGACTAAAAGTTTGTCTATCGATAAGTTCATTTTTTCATAGCTGGGTTGCGGTTTCGGATTTCCGTTTTGGCCTGCAACTTTGCTAAGGTGTAGTTTATGCTGAGCTCCGCTAGGTGGTGCTGTAAGGGGGGAAAGACAGGGTCGTTAGTTTGGGCATGATTTGAAAATGTGCGGGAAATTCTTTAAAATTAAGGAGTTAAAACCATTACAGGACTTTTAATATTTTAAGTTTACCATTTTTAGGATTTCATGCTGAAAATTTATTAATTTTTTATGGTAAATCAAATTCAAAGTTAGTCCTATTGAGTTTCCAATCATTAAGAACTCATTTTAAATTTTATTAAGTTTTTAAATGAAATGTCACTAGAAGAAATCTCTTTTATTTCTTACCTTTAATACATGATTTTGGGTTGACACTCTGTCCGCTCTGCCCAGTCCATTCGTCCACCAGACCCTCAGCCAGTCAGTCAGTCAGTCAGTCAAATGGACTAGCTGGATATGTAATTTGATATAGTTTTGTGCCGGCCGCAAAAGCCGACAATCAAAATGCCGCCGACCGCCAACAGTCGACGCCAAATGGACGCCGCTGCCCCGCATCCTGATTCCTGATTCCTGATCCGTTTCAGCTTAAGATTCAGATTCCGATTCAAATTCAGATTCAGACGTCGACGACGATGATGATGATGATGATTGCCTATCGTTTTCGCCCGAGCAATTAAAAGAACAAGCGTATCCGTATCGGTTACCTCTTGTGAGCGGAATGAAATCTATATGGGGAATCATCCGTTCGTGAGCGTTTCAAACAAAGGAAGGAAGTCCTGCGAGCCCTGTGATTCGCGTCCCTCGTCCCATTGTGCAGTTATGACAGGCGTCCCCCTTTTTTCCCATTCGGCATTTTGAGCCCACAGAATCCTGCCGAAAATCACATACACGCCACGCCCAAGGGAAAATGTTCGAAATGCTTGAAGTGAGCTAATTTTGTAGAGTTCTTTGGCTGAGGAGTCACTTTGCAAAAGGGAAATGACAGCTTAGCTAAGGGAAAAACTTAAAATTTATGGAAAAATTAAGAGAAGTTTTGGGTTTTGGTATTAGTATTAATGATAAATGCCATCTAAAGTACTAATCTTTTTCTTAAAGTGTTCTTTATAGTGAGCCAGCATTGTCGGCCACTTCAAATGCCTGGGCCCTGAGCTTTTGTCAAAAGTTTTCGTCGGACGTTTCTCGTATAAACCCAAAAATCAAGAAGAAAAAAAAAAGAACTTAAAAATAAGATTTGTGAGGGATCCTTTTGGTCGGCGACTTTCTGAATGAGCCGACAGCTGGCGGCTGACACCTTGTTGCGGTCTTTTGAAACGTTTTTAAAGATCCCCAAATTAACCCACGCACAATTTGACAGATCACAAATCCTGGGGAATGTAATCCTTACAACAACTCTTTCGTATCGTAAGTCGATCTATCTAAAAGCAGGGATCGCATCGCTACTTAGCTTCTCGGCTTAGGGCCATAGATCTCTGCTTAGTAAATGATTCAGATTCTTAACAAAGCCAGGACAATTGTCTGTTTCCGCCGACTCAAAATAAGAAGGATGCTGCACCTCTTCGAATGTTTTTTTGGTTTTTATCAAAGTCTTGAGATCTCCAAAAAAGAAAAAGAAAACTAAATGTATGAAGAGAGGGTGAGGATGTGGATGTGGAGGATGAAGATCAAGGATCCCTGCGCAATATTTGGCAACCCAATTACTTTGTTTGCTTAGCCGACAAACAGTGTTTATTCAACTCCCTCTCTCTCTCTCTTTTACTCAGCAATACAATAGAGCCATACAGCCTTGAGCTATTATCCCAACGGATCGCTAACGTAATTCACGTTTTGCGCAATCGAAACAATTGTTTTTCCAGGGGTCCCGCGATTGCAGTTGGAAATTCTCAATTCAGATAGACAGATGAGCGTTGTCGATAAAATACAGACATATATATAGGAGATGTATATGTACAAAATGGGTAACCGAAACACACATAAAAAGAAGGAAAATAAAACATCCTGAAATGCGTCCGGATTTTTGTTGTTGTTAAACTCGTCCAACCGATTCGCTTCATTTGAATGGATTGCACCCTGCGTTGGGTTTTTGCTTTTGTATTTTTTTTTTGTTTTTGTATTTCATATGTTCTTGGTACATATCAGCAATTTGGGTTAATTCCCGCTCGAGGGGGAGGGAGGGAAGTTTTTGTGAACAAAAAAGAAAACATAAAAAACCGTGTCAAAAGTGAAGGTAGCTCTTCTCTGGCATGGTTTAAGTTATATAATCTAGCATAGAAGGGTGGCCATTTTGGTTGGTAACTTCATAGAATATGGGGTGGCTTTATTTTTGCCTATTCTCTGAGACTAATCAATTATGTAAATTACAAAGCCCTAATGTATTATTTTAGGTTGTTAAAAGTTTGAAAAATATTTAAGAATAACAAAGAAATCTACTAAAGGTTGTTACATTTTGATAGCTATTATTATTTTAAGAATTAGTTAAGGTTTCAGCCTGATAATAATATATATTCTTAATACCCTCTTACTCTTGGTCTTATAAACAGAAGCAGTTCACATTTTATCTCCCATCTTACTGATTTTACTAGTATTTAACTATCAAACTGTATCATAGTAACTACAATTTAACTTTCTTAAATACCAAACAATCCATAAACAGGGTTTACTTTATAATTCCCCAAATATTATTTACATTTTTACCAAATAATCATGCAAAAATCCATCTAATTAAAGGAAAATAACTTTCATTCAACTGACCGACCCTAGCATTGTGTTTTATACATTCAATTGTTCGCACTCCAAAAAGGGAATTTCCCCAGAGAGAGGTTTTTCCATGGCAAGGAAAAAAGGGGCGACTGTTTTTCCACGAGGGAATTCCGCATCACCATGGTGAACTTTTCCAATCCCCGGGGTCAGGGGATCCTTTTCTTGCTGCTATAGAACTTCTTCTTCTTAAAATTTTTTTTTTTTTTTTCACCTGACTGACTGGCGGCGACAACGTGTATGGAAAATCTCATTAAACGAAATCCGATGACCCACCAATATAGACCGCCGCATCAACTTTATTTACGTGCCGTCGTGCAGTTCAAAGGGAAAACCAGCACCCCCCCCCAAAAAAAAAAACCTGGAAAAGCCAAGCCGTTTCCTTTGCTCTTATATCTTGGGTTCGTCTCGTCTTTTTTTTTTTTGTCCAATTTTCCATCGTTTTTCCTTTCTTTTTTGTTTTTTTTTTGGGGGGTAACTGAGTGGGGAGTGGCATAGTGGCGAAGATTTTCCGGGCAGCGGGAAATGGTGGAAAGTCAGGAGGCCTTTTGGGTTGTCATAGCAACGCAGCTAACGCGTCACTTTACGTGTCGAATTCGGGTGTTGGCAGCCATATTTGCTCTTATAGCGCTTTACTTTGCCTCGCTTTTTCCAAAAACCAAACGAAACGGCGGAACCCTCCCTTATATATATACCCTTACATATATATAGATATATATATAGATATATATATAGATATATATAGCAACCCTCTGTACACATAGGGCTGTAAATGCTATATATATGGGCTCTGTGTCTGGGGTGGCTAAGGACCACCCCTTCTCAGTTTGATACCCATTCCCAAAATTCAGATCCCGTTTGCCATTCCGCCTTCTTCCTCCTGCCTCCTGCCTCCTGCTATCCACGCCCCTGCTTCATTGGACCCGGATTTTTGGCCATGGCCATGGAGGCCAGGAATTCGAGACACTGGGAGAGCCAGATTTAGATTTTCAAGAAGTCTATCTATGGAACTTATGGTTTAAATTTTAAGGAGATTTTTTAGGTTTTTAGATCTTAAGTAGGTCGAGTTTTGGGTTGTATATTTAAGTTTTAAGATACTTTTAAGGATGTTAGTTTTTAAGAACTTTAAGTTGGTTTATAATCATGTTAAAAGAGCTAATTTGATTATCAATTTCTTAAACTCATTACCTTTATGGCAATTTGTAGATAAACTTGACAGATTCAGAAAGTAAATTCTAAAATTCGGAGATCTTTGAAATAATAATAAAACTATTTTAAAAATTGTTATTAAAAACAAAAGATAAATTAAGAGGTTTCAAAACCCATTAATTACAAACTTAATTATAAATTTGATAAATGAAAAACTTCAAGTTTTTACCAAATTTTTTCATTGTCCTCTCAATTTTTTGGCGTAGAATTTTTCTATCTGTGCATTTTGGCCCCGACGGTAAGTCGTCTTTTTTCCGTTGTCCTGTCATCTGCTGTCCTTCCTTCATCATCCTGCTCGTCCTCCTTCTTCTCTGCCACTGGGATCCTTCAGGTGTTGTTGTGCTCACCTGTCTGCTGCCGCTCCCCTAGTGAAATATATTTTTTCTGTGCTTTTTTTGGAGGAGTCGGTGGCAGCAGCGGCGGCTCTGGCGGTGATTCTTGTACATAGGATGGGCCTTATATACGGCATGGATGGATGTTGTAATGGTGACGGTGATGGGAGGGGGTAGGGGGGGAGTAGTGGCAATGGAATCCTGGCTGGATGTCCTTGCTGCTGTCCAGCATGTCCTCTCAGTTGGCAGTTGTCCTGAACCCAGCGACAGGTAGTAAATCGTCCACCCAACAGCCGCCAGCCGCCCCCTCACATATTTTCCTTTCTATCTATTTTTGTTTGCCTTTACCTTTGCCTGCTCCATTTTCTGTTTGTTCGCTGTTTTTTTTTTGTTTTTGTTTTTTGCTCTTCTTTTTGTATTTTCTTGTTTGCTGTTTTCGGTTCGAGATAGCATTTTTTTAATATACTTGGGACTATTTCCGCAGCGGGAAAACCTTTAGCTAAGCGGGAAATTTGGCTTGGAAACTTGTCTGAAACTAAGGGATACTTTAGAGTATATATTGGGATTTATATAACGATCTCAGCGAGGAATTACA